CGCGGCTCCGCCGCTGTCACGGTGTCAGGCGGGAGCCGTGACGTCAGGCGGTGGCGGCGGGACGGGACACCGCCGACCCGGCGCCCTGTCACGGCGGCTGAGGCGGCGGGGCGGGAAATGGCGGCTGGGGGCGTCCTGCGGCCTCCTCAGCGCGTCCCTCGGGGCCTGCGGCGGCGGGGTCCCCCCCGAACGCGCTCTTGGGGTGTGCTGGGGGGGTGGCGCGGGGCGGGCAGCCATCGGCCGTCACGACGTGCTTGGGGCAGAGGCGACGTGTGAAATCGGCCCCCGCGCCCGGTGTTGGGTGGGTGCCCCCGGGGAGGTCGCCTGCGTCCCGCGGTGGTGGGTGACGCGTAAGCAGCTGCTGATGCCGCTTCAGGGTATCGAAGTGCGGCGTGTGCCTGGGGTAGGGGGAAACGTGGATCTATAGGTGCCAGCTGCATCTCTCACGCTGGCGCCTATGGATCGGAGGACCTCTGGCGCCTTGTGAGACGGCGGGATCCACATCGTGCCTCGCCACTAATGTAAAGGTTAATGATGACACCTGGTGATCTGTGGAAAAAACTCGGAGCTTCTCACTACTGAAGTTTGGAAACAGCTGTTCTCCAGCTTGCTGCGTTCGAAGAGACGTTAGGTGGCTGGCAGACTGCTTAGTCAGTTGTGTGCTTATCACCGCATCGTCTGCTCTCTTTCACCTGCCTCTGTCTCCCATACTCTTTCCTGGTTATCTGTGTTCTCCCTTGAACTCACGTCTGAACTTTTTGACTTTTCCGGAGGTTTTTTTGTGGTTGTGTTTTAATGATGGGTTATACTACGCTCTTCCATATGGAAGGAGGGCCAGGGTAGTCCTATAATTTTTGGCACTACTGTAGCAAATGGAAACTTGGAATACCAGTCATACAAGTATGAAATACCATTATGGCATGTTGGGTTGGAAATTTCTGTCATTCCAGTTAAGGATCTGTAGATTCAAAGATTTTGCCCCTTTTTCTTTGTTACTGAAAGTTACTTTGCTCATCACAAGTAATGTTTCTACGTAAGGGATTCCAGAAACATTTATTGTTGTCAAGGGACTGGCATCTTCAGATGTTTTCAATATTTTAGTTAAGGTAGGGGGGAAAACCTCCCCACCAAAGGCTCAGTTCAGGTGTGCTTTAAGAAACTTCTTAGTTAAGTTTATTATCGGGCAAATAGTATTTGCTTTTTACTGAAATTGTAATTGTTACATTTAGTTTCAGTTCAGGAAAAGTGGAACTTACAGGGCTCAAGTGACTAGGACTGACAAGCTGTTCCTTGGTGGGCTACTCCCATCTTAAAAATCCCTGCTCTGCTAAAAGCCTCTTGAACCTTGTGTATGAGTCTTGAAAAGTCCTTTGTCTCTGTGTGTGTCTGTGCTGTGTCTTGCATAAATGGGATAGCTGCATTGGTTCAGTTCTTCTGAAATTTTTATGGAAAAGGGTAATTTGTCTTGGCTGAGCACATAGTTGGACTTCCTTCCAAAGCTACCAGAGTGGCCAGACGGAATGATAAATGGCCCGTTTGGAGCTGTATTAATAATGAGATGTTATGCTTATCTTTTATGAGTTGTTTTAAATTTGTGAAAGCCAAGTTGGAAGAGAAATGACATTTTAAAATGTTCAGAAACATCTAAGATTTCTTCTCTGGGAATGCCTCTGCAGAAATCCCAGAACATTTCAGTTGTCATCTAATTATGACTGACAAGGTTAGCAGGTTCAGAGAAGCTCAGGAAACCTAATTTTTCCCTGAAGCAAAGTAACTCCCTGTTTTTGTGTCAGCTAGCTTACTGCCTGCTTTATGGCTTTTCTGTCTTTACTTTGCTGTCAACACCTTCAAGGAACAGAGGTTTTCTTTGTCAAGTTAATAAAAGTGAAAAATTTCCATCAAGTTTGGTATTGTGTGAGTTACACATCTTGATTAAACTTCAAAAGGTATTTTATGTGCAAATAAAATATAGAAGCGATTTATGACTTTGAGTCTGTGTGTGTTGCTACAGTCTCGCAGACAAATTCCCAGTGTCCTTTAGTAGTCTCCGAAGCACTTCATGCATGGAAAGAAGAATGTGTGACAATTATATCGCCCAAAGAGATTGTACACCGACAGTTATTATATGAGAACTGTATTAATGTCTACAGTGGAATTTTTTTGAAACAACTTTTTATTCCGGGGGGAGTGTTACATGAACATTCATTCTTGTGATTTTTCAAGGTTATTTTGCTACCTTTCCAACACTTGTGCTCGGTGCTTGTTTTCTGAGCGGAGTTGCTCTTCAGTGGTATGATTTGATGTCTACGGATCATTCCATTCACATGAGTTAACATTCAGTGTTATGCATCAGCTCTGTAATACTCCTGTGTTTCTGTTGTGAAGATGACACTTCCTAATGCAATTGAGTAGTAGCAACTGTAATTTTTCTGTTTTGGGAGGGGAAAAAAATTGCAGTCAGAGAGAAGGGCTATTTCTTAACCTGGTTTCCTAAAGCAACAGGTGTAAAACAGGTCAGATGTATATATGTCCATTGACCCTTCTCCCTCAATAGTTTTTGAATCCATTGATTGGTATTAATTATGTTTGTCAGTGGGCTGCCTCTTGCACACAGTTGGCAAACTAAGCAAAGATGGGTTGGAGCTGTGCAGGAGGATGGGGATACTGAAGTGTATGGGGAGAGAGGATGAAGCACTTCGGAGGTACCAGGAAATATTTCACTGGGAGTGTGTGAAGAATTAAAGGTGTTGCGAGGCACTGAGGGCGGGGGGGAACTGAGGATGCAGAATAGAAATCACAGAAGAACAAGATTCTGTAGATTTACTATTCTCGCTTTTAGTAGCGATATAAATGAAATCGGAACAGATTTTTGTGTAAAGATAGTTTTGATTCATTTCTTTTGCTTGAAAAGAAATGGTCCTCTGGTATACAGCCTTCCAAAAGACAGTGTTATCATATTCATTCTTTCTTCCCAGGAGAGCACTCTGTGCTTCAGGACAAGAGCTTTTGTTTTGTTAGTTCAGTCTAGTTTGGAGCTACTCAGAAGAATGCCAGAATTGAGAGTGATTTTGTCCTGTATGTACTGAAATAGGATGCTCAGACGTATTGCAGAATTGCACTGATCACTCAGCACTCTCTCAAACACAGCAAATTTGCTTGTATCTCCACATCTGACTGCAGCAGCAAGTAGAACCCATCTGTGCTAGCTTTAAGCAAGCTTTCATGGTTTGAAAAGTAGCTGTCAGTCTAGAAGAGGAAGTTTGGAGCTCAGCACAGCCTGTGAAACCAATGTGAGAAACTCGTATTGGTACAGTGAGCCTGCTGGGAGCAGAAGGCTGCTGTGGTCCTGCTGCTGCTGTGCCCTGAGAAACCCTGTCAACAGCTGCTCAGGTGTGTTCATGCTGTACTGCGTTTGCTGTGGTGTGCAGTCACGGACGTGAGTTTGGGCTGAATTTGAGTGTGACCAGTATCAATATAAAGACATCCTCCTGTTCGGTCCTCTAAGCTAACTGGTTTCTTCGATGTATTACACTTTCAAGTCTACTGTTGCTCTCGCAACTAGATATAACATCAAACTTTATAAGTTCAAGTATTAACGTGTGTGCCAAGATTTTTCAAAGTAATTTTGGTTGCCTTGCTTATCAGGGCTGAGCTGGTACCGACATTCACAGGCAGTATTTGCCACCGCTCCTTACCAAAAGTAGCTTGTATGAGTTCTGTCATCTTTGTTATATTTGTATGTAAGTTTGTGCAACTTCCATTTTAGATTGGTTTACAGATGTGGTTGAAAAGCACTTACATTGTTTCAGATACACTGACTTGCTTCCCATTAGCAGCCTGGTGTGTGAATAATGGTCATAATAACCTTAATCATACTTTGCAAATTGAGTGTTGCTTTCCTTGCAATAGATCTTCAAAGATCTTTTCTTTGAGATATAGTTTCATTTCTACACAGGTCATTCTTGTAATACTTTTTTTTTTGGCCTTCTCCCTCATATGATTCATGGATACAAAATTCACATTCAAGGAAGACTTATGTGTTAGGTTTCCATAGTTAATGAACATAACTATTTCAAACTATTTCATGTGTATAAACATGTGAAGTTCTGTGATGATAAACATCAGTAAATATTTAGGAGCCTGAAAAGTTTACAGCCAAAGCTGAATCCCATTCAGCTGGGTGAGGCAAGCCCGTAAGGTCTAGTTATGAACCATTATTTTCTTGTTATTCCTTATTTATATTGAAAAATTACATGGATAGCCCTTGAGAAGGATTGAGACTTTATGTGAATCTGACTTTGCTTTTGTGTATTAATTTTAAATATCTTTTCTGACCTTTGATTTTTTTATTATTATTATTTTTTTAATCACTGATCGTTTTTATTAGTTGTGCTATATCTCATTTATACCCCAAAAAGTCAAACACAAACATACTTGGTATTTAGACATTTCCCTGTCATTCTGAGTTCCTGCAGAATATTTTAGTAATTGATTTCCATATAGGAAATGAGCTGCTCATAAA